TTGAGACTCTGCACCTGTGGCAGGTAGAGCCCCACAGGCCGGCCGGCTGGGGCTACAGCAGGTCATGTTCACATGGGTTTGTCTTTGAGAAACCCTCCAGCTCAATGAGTTTCAAATCCTTGGAGAAGGATAAAGTCACAGAGGAATTCATCACAGAGGAGCCCTTCTGTTTATATTCATTTCCTTAGAGTGACAGTCCAGGAAATGCCCATCCTAGACAAGGTGAGCTCAGTAAGCCATCCAGCCATCTGGTCGACAAGAACAAAACATAGATGAGGCCATAAACCTTTTGGGGGTTGGTTTGGTTTGTACAAACTGTTCCTTCCTCCAAGTGGTCAATAAAAAGGAAGAAAATAAGTGACATTGACTCCTAGTCATCCTAAAAGAGTAGCTGTGTCCATAGGTCACCCAGTTCCGGCCCTCCTACATCACTTCAAACCACATCTCCCGGCGTGGTGGCTCATGTCCTCCTACAGATCTGTGACTGCCCTAGTGTGGTCAGTTAGGGGATTACATCTCCGGTCTTGCCCGGGCCCCCTCTGTGCTGTGAATCATACCCCGGATGCCCATGCTTCTGTTTCAGATCTTTCAGTGGCTCCCTTGGCCAACCTTTATAACCTAACCTAACTGTCCTGTCTAGCTCTGTCCCTCGCTTCTCCCTCTGTCTCCCTTACAAGGGGCTACTTGCATTTTGGGCGTGGGCTGCTGCTTTTCCCTGGAATATGTTCACACACATGTTCTGCAGTGAGCCCCTAAGTAAAGCACCCACAGTGGTGGCTTTGCCCTTCATGATCGTACAGACTAGTACGGAAGACAGACCTCAGATTATCACAGCAGTAATTACGTGAGTAAATATGGTGACTGGAGCCATGAGGGTGATAGGAGTGAGGCCGACCAGGAGTCGTGGTGGGTCATTTAAGCCGAAATCAAGGTGGGAAATAGCTCCACATAGGTGTGGGAGCCTGAGGAAAGATTTTTCCATGACCAGGGACCAAGATGGGCAAAGGCCCTGAGGAAGGAGAAGACTAATAATAGCAGTGGTGGCCACCAAAGCACGCATTTGCTGTGGTTTGCTCTGTGCCAGGCACTGGCTGAAGGTCTTGGCCTGTCTTGACTCCCAAAACCCTACACACTGGGTGCTTTTGTCGTCCCTATTTTATAGATGTGGAAATGGAGGCACAGAGAGGCTCATGGGGTGATGGGATTTGACCCTGGCTAGTCCGGATCCCAAGCACATGCTGTAAACCTGTGTTCCCTTGCGTGGCCCTGTCAAGGCCTTGCAGAGAGGCCTTTGGGGCTGTAGCTTGGTCCAGCAAGGTGAGGCCAGAAGGCAGATACAAGGCCAGGAAAGCCCTCTCGGCAGTTTAGGGAGTGACACGATGTCATTTGTACTTCTAAGGGGTCAGTCCACTTGCTTGTGAAGGCCCTGGATAAAAGGGGAGTCATGGGGAGGAAGCCAGGAGAAGGGAAAGATGGGAGTGGTTGGATTTTCCTCCTCCTTTTACCCGGTCCTTTCCTCCTTGCCCTTCAAAGTCTCGTGCTGGTGTCTCTGTCTGCATGCAGACCTCTCTCTTCCACCTTGCTAGAGTTCAAGATCCTCTCGGTGAGTCCAGCATCTCAAGATTCCCCCCACACACATGGGCATGCAATAAGTACATTAAAGAACAGAGGCAAGAATGAATTTACAGAGTAGGAAGTCAGGTATCTTAATTCAAGTTATTGAATAACAATTTTGTTATTCAAGTTCATCTCCACTCGGATTCGACCTTCACACTGTTAAGTTGTTGGGGCTTTGACAGAGGGTCTTCTTGACTAAACTCAGAGTTCTGTCTTCGGAACTCTCTTCTCAACCAGCCCTGGCTTTGGGGTTTGTTTGTCTGCGTTGTCCGGTTGTAGCAAGAATCTCGCTAAGTCAGTTTATCCGGAACCCCCACCCTCAAAATCCGATCATGCTCCGTGTGTGCTGCAATTCTTCACCCACCGCCCTCCCCCAGGGGACTTCTGGTTGCCCTGGCCTGCCTGCATGAATCCTCCCTCACCCCTGATGCTTCCTGTTAGTAATTGTCTAGCCCCAGACCCCCACCTGCTCCTTTGCTGTACGTTTTTACTTTTCCTTGTTGCCTCCAGAGTTGAGCCCACCTCTGTCCCCTTTGGAAGAACCCCGCGTGGCCATTCCTGTCCCTCCAGCAGTAGGGCTCCAGAACAAAATCCACCTTATTGTTCTTTGACAAGTGTCACGAATAATGTTTTCTTTAAACTTATACCCTAAATAAAACAGATCCCGTGTGGGGTACCCATGGTCTGTCGTTAAAGCTAAAATTTCTGTTCCCTTCGTAGCAAGAATGGCCAAGATCACTCCTTCAACTTGACATTTTTAAGGAATCAAAAGGTTCCTTGATGGCAGGCCAATCCATGCCCTGCCTACTGGTACTACTGCATTCCTGCTCAACTCTCCAAGACCCAGAGACCTCGCAGTGCTCAGAAGCCAGCAGGACTTGGCGGTGGGGGGCTGGCTGGGATGGGAACAGGCCGACCCTCCTTCCTGGCTTCCCTCGTGGGCCTTGGAGACTCTGTTGTTCACCGTGAGATCACAGAGCAGTGTTTGGGTTCAGAGGTCTGTGTGTGCTAAGCGCGTCTGGGATCTGAGAACGAACACCAAGCACGTGATCTTTCACATAGCCAACTATTAGAGAGACTGCCCATTTTTTAACATACACTTTTACTGACATTAAAACACCGTTCATAAAAAAGTGCAGTCTCATTCGTGTGCACGTGGATTTTCAGCACCTGAACACAGCCATGTCACCTGCACCCAGCTCCAAAAGCAGAACGTGAGAGCATGCTGCATCCCCCACACATCCCTTCTGTTCACCGCCCTCCCCACGGAGGGAAAGGCTCCCCTCACTCCTGACAGCCTGGATTAGTTTTGCCTGTCTTTGAAGTTTTTACCACTGAAATCATACAGTGTTGGAGGAGGATGTACATCTAAGATGAAATTTGGGATTAAAAAAATTGTTTTCCTGATCTTCAATTTATCCCATGTTTCTAGAAATCGAAATCAGATGGGTGGAAAGGCGGTCCCATCAGAGGAAGGCTGTCCGTCAAGGATGAAACACACATGGCACAAAGCCACCCTTTAGAATTTATAGAGTTTAGTGATTATAATGACTGTTATTTGTAAATTGTTTTATTAATACATTACTGCCATGTTTATTTTTCATCATTTGAGAAAGAAATTATCCCAGATTTCTAGACCAGCTACTGGCAAGCTTTTTCTAGAAAGGGTCAGACAGTAAATATTTCCAGCTTTGCCACCCACGTGGTCTCCGTGGAAGCCACTCGGCTCTGCCACTGTGATGCAGAAGCAGCCCCAGACAAGATACACCCGAGTGAGGGTGGCTCCGAGCCAGAAAAGTTGATTTATGGACACCGCGATGTGACGTTCATATGCTGTTCACTTACAAAGTACTATTCCTTTTTGTTTTTTTAAACTTTAACCATATTTGAGGGGAATCGCTCTAAAAATTTCAAACTTCTCTGTGTTCTCAGCTCGAGCTGATGACATTTTCTCCATAAATTTGGGCGCCATGGTGTAGAATCCCCAGCCCTGTCCTCTTGCTGCATCTCTTTGGATGAATTACTTCTCTGGACCGGTTTCCTATTCCATGAAATGGGAGGATAGTCAGGAAGGGTGTTCAGCTGGCCACACCAGTGTGGCTGTGTTAGTTAGGCATGGGTGGAAGGGTCCAGTCTTGACTGATGAAAGTCCAGGGCCCAGCTGTGCAAGCTCTTCAATATTTTGGATATCGCCCTTGATGATACTGTCCTGTCTACAGACATCTTCTACCTACCGTGCCCAACATTTGTCTGGAACACGGGCTTTGCTCTTTCTCCTCCTCCTCCTCCTACAGAAGTGACTCTAGGTGTTCACGGCTAAAAGGAGTACTCCAGTTCCATATCAAACTCTCTCTTACCTCTAGGACTTTGTTAGCTTGTCTAAACTGTAGCGTTTTCTATTCCCCTAGTGGCCACAGGATGTGAGCCGTAACTCCTCCTGGCCTACCTTCTCCTCCATCAAATCTACCTTGCTGTTCCTCATTAGCAGCCTTAAAATGATCTAAAGTGGAGGAGAGAAACTCTGTCAGACCCTCACCTGGGCTCTTAAGAATGTGAGCTCTATGTAATATAGGGTCAAGAGCAAAGCAGACTTCAGGACCAGATAGCCTGGTGGGATTCAGGCTTCCCATTTAGGAGATGTGTGTCCTGCCTGGGATGCTGTCACTCACTTTGCTCCCATTTCCCCATCTGTAAAGTGCAGGAAAATCCTATCTACCACCTCGTGTTGGTACGAGGATTGAGTGAATGAGTAAGTGTTAGGACTTTTCAAACAGTCCAGGCACAGCGTAAGCACTGTGTATTCGCTGTGATTTTTTTTTATGTTCACTCGGTAAATACATTATGGTGTGGTTCTGATGTCTGGTAAAGATAATCGTGACTCCTGGGTATGAGACTGCTAGATAAGAGAAGTCACATATTAAATGACGGATTTTCTGGGGGGAAAAAACTCATGGAGTATTGCTTTATGATTTGCTGATTTTCTGCCTGTCTCATTGCCTTATTAACAGCTCTAGACATCTACTCCTGAACTGGTCCTTTTCTGTTTGAGGACTCAAAGACACACTAGAATGCAGGGGTTAAGACTGGGTGATAAAGCCTTAAGTACTGTGCAAAATGGATTTATTCCTAGGAGGCTTTAAAGTAATATCCCGGAGAAAGTTACAGTTAATGGTTAGTTTCGTTGGGGGAAACATTCTTAAAGAATTACAATGCTGGAGACGATGGACTCTGAAAAACAAACTGAGGGTTCTAGAGGGGAGGGGGGTGGGGGGATGGGTTAGCTTGGTGATGGGTATTAAAGAGGGCACATTCTGCATGGAGCACTGGGTGTTATGCACAAACAATGAATCATGGAACACTACACCAAAACTAATGATGTAATGTATGGTGATTAACATAACAATAAAAAAATTTAAAGAAAAAAAAGAATTACAATGCTGCTCTCACATATCTTTGATGGAAATCCAACAACTCCTGGGTCCGTGTTTAGCTAAATGAGCAAAAAAAACAAAACAAAAACAAAACCATATATATGTATACGTATATAATCACTTGGCTTGGTGAAGGAGCAAAGAAAAAATATTTTAATGGAGAGGTAATTTTTGAAAATGAGAAATCTGTTACAGTAGTAAGATTATGGGTGATGAGTACTTTTTTTTTTTTTTTTTTAAGATGGATTTGCCTTTTAGAAAGGCAAGGGGGGAAAAAAAGCCTGGAGCTATTACATTCTCTCTCCAAAATAAATTATCTTCATTGCAACTCTGAGATTGCAGAGGTGTGTCATAGAATTAAGACCCGCAGCCTAAAGCCTTAAGTAGGTAAGAGTATTTTGAGAAGCTGGTGATACGTGTTCTAAGCGTGCTGGCGTTTTCTCTGGTTGGTTTCGGTTCGAGTTCAAAGCAGAAGCCTGTCAGGTGGGCTGGAAGGAAGACCCATCCCAACTGAACGGGTGTTCGCTGTCCCTTGTCCTGCCTCTCCTCTGTGTTTTTTCTGTGCCCACGTTGTTCCAGATTGGCTTCAAGCAGATCTGCGAGGTAAAGGTTGGGGATAATTTCCCAGGACTGCTGTCACAAATTGCCACAAACTGGGTGGCTTAAAAAGCAGAAGTTTATTCTCTCTCTGTTCTGGAGGCCGGGAGTCCAGACTCGAAATGTTGGGGGAGCCACACTCTCTCCACAGGCTCCGAGGGACAGTCCTTCCTCACCTCTTCCAGCTCTGGGTGTCTCTTGGCCTATGGCAGCATCACCCCAGGCTCTGCCTCCCCATGGCCTCTCCCCTGCGTCCTTTTCCCTCTTCTGAGAACGCTCATCATCAGATTTAGGGCCCACCTAAACAGATTACAAGATTCCTCATTACGTCTGTGGAGACCTTATTTCTAAAGAAGGTCACTTTCCCAAATCCCAGGGGTTAGGACTTGGACTTCTCTTTTTTTTTTTTGAGGGCGGGCAACACTGGGCCCACTACAGTTGGCTTCACAGGTGTTTTAGCTGACCACCGAGCAGGGCTTCCCACGCAGTGACACCCTCCCCCATCCCTAGAACACTGGCAGTCTGGGATGGAAGTAAGGAAAAGCCGTCTCGGTGGCGGCTGGCAGCCGAAGTTTGGAAGCTGGCTCCCCACTCACTCACCTGTGGCCTCAAAGGTGTTAGTAAATGTCTCCCAGCGTTGGCTCTTCTCTTCTGTAAGGCGGAGGTGATACGGTCTAACTCTCTGGGTCCTGAGGAGTATATGGGAGAATATGTGAAAGCAGCCAAGCACAATGCACAGCTTACAGCAGGAACTTAATACACGTCTTTGAGTCTGAAATCCATCACACGTTGACCTTAACATTAACTTTCTTGCCTTCAGATGGGTTATGTCTGACAACAGATCTGTTGGGTGAGTCCAGACAAATGTGGGGATGGAGTAGAACTCTCTTGTCAATGCAGGGTGTTGACAGCAGTCCGTGAATTCATGTGAAGAGCTTTGGCAGTACCTGGCCATGTATTTGTGGTTGTCATTGCTGTGGTTGCTACAGCCCCATAACCATGTTGATCTGAACCAGTAGAGAACTGGCCTCTAAGAGGCCACTGGAGATCACAAATGGGGCAACCCTAAACCCAACCCCAAGGTAGGTAGTGAAAATGGCCACCCACTTGGCCTTTACCTAGCCTTTTTTTTTTTTTTTAAATCTTTCAGCTTAGGACTCAGTACCTAGTAGGGCCTCAAAAAATACTCCTGACTTAAAAAAAAAGTATTCTAGGTGTTCGAGTAATAGGCAGAATTAGCAGCATTTCCCCCAGTCATATCCTTAAGTGGCATGATGAGAGTCTAGTGGTCAGCGGTCACTGCAGAAGACACAGAGGACAAGAATTATCTGTGCTTTTATCAGAAGAAAGGGCTCCACCTTTTTGACCTTGGGGTAGTAAGCAACTGGTCCCCTACGGATTGGTTTAAAAGAAGACATCCATACCTCTGCCCCATGAGGTCTGACCCTAGATGGAGGACTGTTGCTCTGTGAATGCCAAATAACAGAATCCTGCTTTTACCTCAAGGGGACTTTCACTACATTCCCTCAGCAGCTCACGCCCTGGATGACTCAGTGTTCCGCTGCTGCCTAGATTTTCCTTGTGATCCTCAGCTGTTATCAGTCAACAGTGACTAAGTATCCATATCCAGAGGATGCCAGGCCCGGGCAGGATGTAGAAAGGAGACATGGTCCCCATTCCACAGCTGTGGGCCTGAGGGCCACTGGCACCATAGACTGACACAGTTCATGGTCGAGGATATGGAGACAGAGAGGGTACGTGGGGCAGCATTAACAGTGAAGGGCCGGGGCGCCTGGGTGGCTCAGTCGTTAAGCGTCTGCCTTCGGCTCAGGTCATGGTCCCAGGGTCCTGGGATCGAGCCCCTCATCGGGCTCCCTGCTCGGCAGAAAGCCTGCTTCTCCCTCTCCCACTCCCCCTGCTTGTGTTCCTGCTCTCGCTGTGTCTCTCTCTGTCAAATAAATAAATAAAATCTTTAAAAAGAAATAAAAATTAAAAAAAAAAGTGAAGGGGCCATCTCTACCTTAGTGCCACCATGTTGCTCATATACTACCATTGTGTATGGTCTCTGAGTCTGGCCAGTGGATCGGTTCTACTCAAAAACCTAGAGATTTCCATCTTCCTGGAATAGAAAATGAGCAAAATCCTGAACTGGAGTCATAGAAGCTGAACATGACCATACATTTCCTGGCATCACTGAGGCTTCATCTCTTTCCATGTGCCCACAGCCCTATGGAAGTGTCTTTCTAATAACGTTTTCTTGTGTCAAATTTTATCTTCTCAGCTCTCATCGCTTTTTCTTCCCCCTTCCTAGCAGGGTAACCACATTCCTGAAGGGAAGGTGCATCATTACCATAGACTTTTTCAACACATGAATAAATATCTAATTATCTAGCATCATTTTGTGTGTTTTACTTTTTTTTTTATTAAAGATTTTATATATTTTAGAGGGTGCATGAATGGGAGTGAGGGAAGGGCCAGAGGGAGAGGAAGAGAATCTCAAGCAGACTCCAGGTGGAGCCCAGTGTGGGGCTTGATCTCACGACCCTGAGATCATGACTGGAGCCAAAACCAAGAGTGGGACATTCAACCGACTGAGCCACTCAGGCGCCCCCATTTTGTGTGTTTTAAATGTTATATATATTACACAATACGAATTCTTTCATAACTTGTTTTCTTTTTACTCTGTGGATTTGAGATTTATCCATTATCGATTCATGTAGATCCAGTTCATTCGCTTTGTTACATAGTGACAGTAATTTGTCCATGCCCCTACTGGTAGACGGTTAGATTGCTTCTGCATTTATGCTCGTTTATTTTTTTAATTTTATTTTATTATGTTAGTCACCGAACAATACATCACCAGTTTTCGATGCAGTGATCCACGATTCATTGTTTTTGTACAACCCCAGCTGTGCACACCTTCTTTGGCTCTCCTTGCACTCAGGTGAGAATTTCTGTAGGTCCAGGTCACGCTTGGAAAGGGAATTGCTGGTCATGAGGTGGGCATATCTTTACTGGGTTTGACAACTTGCTTTCCAAAGTGCCTGTGCCAATTTACATTCCACCAGCTGTGTTAGAGTGTTGTTTTCCTCAAATCCCAACTAATGAGTGCTTTTATAAGATTCACCAAAATTTTTCAACCTGACAGGTGTGAAATAGGCATCTGCCTCTCTGTAATTGCTGGGAGGGTTAAGCACCATTTCATGTGGCTTCTAGTTGTATGTTTACATCCTTGGCATATTTTTCCTCTACTTTTGGAAATGTGGGGGAGAGATGGTTCTTTTCTCACTGATTGGTAGAACCTCCTTACATACTCTATTTGGTGCTAATTTTTTTGGTGATATGATTTGCAAGTGTCTTCTCTGGGTCTGTGACATTTTCACTAAAATATCTTTATGAAAGAAAAATGAGAAATAGGGATAAGCAGTCCAGCCTTGAAGAGAAGCATCTAGAAAACGGTCTGTTAATTCTGCTTCTGAGACTAGTTGGTGACATGCTAAGGGCATGGATTATTGTACTTCCTGTTACCTGAGGTGTCGTCCGGACAAGGCTTTCATATTAGTCTTCTTTTTTTCCTTTCTGAGGCTTTGCTTTATTTTGCCTTTTAAAAGTATTGCCTTTAGGAAAATGCCTTTGTTCTTGGTGGTTCTCCATGCTCACTTGTTTGGGACTGATGCCATCGCTCAGGTCACAGGTGAACACCTGCCTGCCCACTTCCAGTACACGGAGCCTTCAGTTCCTGTGACTTCTAGAAGGTTTAGAGTAGCCTGCCAACCCCCACCAGCACGTAGTTGATTAGCTGCCACCCTCCCAAAGTGGAGACGTGTTTTTCTTAATACAGAAGCAATCCATGTTTATTACAAATCCTGTCAAAAAGCATAATTCTACACTTGTCATGAAGCAAAACTAATACTTGGACTGCTATAAAGTGTTTCTAATATGTATATGACTGTGCGAATAATGTACAATAACAAAAGTGTCATAAAATACTTACTGTTTTCGATTGTACGCCTTTCCCTTAAACATTGGAAATCTCTAGGCTAATGGATATGTTTCTATGGTGTCGACTTTAATGGCTGCATAGCTTTCCCTCGTACCTTGAAGATTATAAAAGATTCCTTAATATTGATTATGTTCGTGCTTTCCTTTTTTTTTCTTTTTTAACTGTAAGAAGCAGCCTTGAAGGGAATATGGATGTTTATGAATATCTTTATTTCCTCATGAGAAAAAAGATCTAAGACCCAGAATTACTGGGCTAAAGCCATGCTCATTTCTAAGACTTCCGTATATCGCCCACGTTGTTTAATGTGGTTGGGGGAGGGCTCGTCATCTGGGTCACTCGTTTCTGGGACACGTTGACCACCTGTCATGTGCCAGGCACTTTCTGTGGGTTGGGAACACGGAGATGTTGAGATGACCTCAGTCCCAGGTGTCAGGGCTCACCCTCTGGGCCACTGCGCAGAGGAGTTGAGCAGAGAGGTAGCAGACTCAGGCCACAGGAGACTGTCCCAGGAAGGACACTAGTTAAGGGAGGAGGACCGAAATAGTCTTGGGATGATACACGAGGCAGCCCTTGGCACTCGTTAGCTTTCCCTCCAAGTGATATAAATCACTTACCTTGACCAGAAGTATAGCCTCACCTGTATTTGAGGAGAGTCATGGAACCTCGGCTTCTGCAGTCTCCACCTCATCAATCAGGGGTAATGATGACACCAGCCTTACCTGCCTCACAGACGTGAGATTCATGTCACAGAATGGATAGAAAAGTGGTTTGCTGTCAGGGTCTATATAAATGTTGTATAAACAGTATTGCTAATGTTGTCCTCGGGTGTGCACAAGGACATCAGATGAGGAACAGCTCCCAGAGGACGTTAAGGAGAATGCTGGCGCTGGCATGATCCTTCCCCCATTGAAAGGAAGCCTGGCAGCCCTGAGAACCTGCCACGGGGGCTTAGAATCACCCTGAGGACACAGCTCTGCTCTCACACAGTCCGGGTTCAAATCCCAGGCCGGTGACGTTAGGCACGTGACTTGACTTCCCTGTGCTAGAGTTTCTGCATCTGTAAAATCAGGATGATCGTCACGTCCTTCTGAGAACCAGATGGAAGAAGGCATATCAGGTGCTTAACCCAGGACCTGGTGGTGGGAAGTGCTTAATACATGGAAGCTTTGTTGCTGTTACTGTTGTTTGCAGCTTGTTAATTGTTGTGAAGAAACTGTTGGAGCAGAGAAAAGCATTCCTTCAGCAGTTTAAGAGCAACCTCAAATCAAATTCTAGTTTTATTTAAGAGTGAGTTTTCATTCATCATTCTGGAACTTCCTAAATAGCTCTTTCCTAGTAAAAGTGCCCTGCTCTGGGGATTTAATTATGGGCCATGAGGATTTGCTTTTTTTTTTTTTTTTTTTCCCGGAATAAGACACAAAGAAAGATCTGGTTTGCTGCTACAGAAAATGAGTAGAAGCTCTATTGACCAAACCACCATTTTATCCAAGAAAGCCCTTCTCAACCCCCTCTTCCCTCAAAGGAACACAAAGAAGGGAGGGAGGGAGAAAGAAAGGACATAAGCTCAGTGTGTTTCCAAAGATTGCATTACATAATTTCATGAAAAACTTCCTCCTTTGTTCTTTTTCTCTTGTGCATCTGAGGACTCATAGATCTCGTCCACATAAAAAAGAGATAAAATGACTTACTCAGAGTCACACAGTGAATGAAACGCAGGCATAACTGGACCGGGGTCCTCCTAACTTTCCTTTGAGCCTCCTAGGTTGCTACTTCACTGAGTTACTTAAATTGACTCCAAGCCTTGTACAGAAGGAGACTGTGATGCAGTTGGATTTTGCGATTTGTTTTCTGAATGTTCACAGCCAAAGAACACCAATTCATTACATAAAGTGCTTAAATGCCTGATCCTGAGGATTAGTCAGTGTGAAGGCTGAGCTGCAGAAAGAGATACCAAATTACAGTGGCTAAGGTTAGAAGTTTATTTGTCTTCCGATGTAGCAGCCCTGAGGTTGGTGGGGCTGCCTTGCTCCGTGTGGTCATTCAGGGACCCTGGTTTCTTTAATCTTGGTGCTCTGTTCATTTTCAGGGATGCTTTCCTTATTTGCATCATTGAAGCTTATTTGCCTGGAAGGGGTGGGGGGCGGGGCATTAAAGCTCAGTGGCTTGAGGTCAAGGACCCGAAGAGTCACCCAGGACTTGTGTTCACAGCCTGCTGGCACAAACCCAGGAACAAATATGGCCCCCGCCAGGGAGCCCCACAGACACCAGGCTGAAACTTGAGGGTTGGGATAGGGGGCGGGTGGGAAGACGTTTCTGTCCCGGAGAGGAGAGGAATGGCTGCTGGAGGACGTATAGCAATCTGGGTCACAGATGTGAAGGTGTTTTTGATGCTCCACAGAACAAACAAAGCCGTAGATTACACTCCCAGATGGCTTCCTTATTTTTAGTTTGGTAAGAAATATCTGGAATCTATTCTGTCATGACCATGGTCTGAGTAACTTTAATAAAGGGCAATCTCAGGCCCTTCGAGGAAGGTTATCTTTGTGAGCATGTTATTGCC